AAAACAAAAAAGGAAAACAAACAGTAGATTTTGAAGATCACAACAGTACAAGTTCCCCTTTAACTCGTCTCTGATTGCTGCGAACAGGCGAGCTGCCCTCTGGTCGCCACTACCCTGCTGCACATTCATCCAAGAGATTGGCTGCCACTGCAGGACTGTTGCAGCGGCAGCTTCGGGCCCTAATGTAAAACCCCTTTCTTCCCAGGCACCAAGCAAGCTGGAAAATGAAACTGGGTTCTTGCCATCAATGACTTTCATGTTTCAGACATGCGAAGGGAAGATGAGAGGATGCCATGTGATTATTCAATCAAAATCGCACCCCATGATGATCCACGGTGGGACCTGGAGCGCGCATCCCCGCACACATCCAGCGGTCACTGGCCGTGTGAGCGCTGCTCCATCCATCTACCCGGGAGCACCACATGAAGTGGCAAACTCAAGCCGCATCTGCCACGATGAGATTCTTTCCTCAGCGCAAAGAAGTGAACGTTAGCGGACAAAAGGACCAAACTGCTCGAGAGACGTCTGGGACATGTTGGGTCAATCATTTCCTGATGATTATATGTTGCTCCATCCTTTTGGGATCCCAGAAGAAAGACCGAGATAAATGACCAAAGTCAAGGCCAAGAAGGAAAGGCAGCAAAAACCAAGTGTTGACATGAACCCCAGGCACGAACCGACTCATCTTTCAGAAATGGTTCGACCTGGAGCTCGGCCACGGCCACGTAGTCCTCATACTTGGCATGTCCATCGACAAGCTTTGCCTCTCGAAAGGCCTGGCCACACAACTTGTAGAAGGGGGACTGCATGGCACTCTGCCTTTTCAATTTGGATGCCAGCGCTTCCTCGAAAACTTTGCGGATGGCTCGATACTTGGAAAGGCCCACGGGATCTTCTGGAATCCAGCGGCCAGCCCAAGTCTTGGCCTCGGTCTTGGCATTGTCCTGGGTCGGGTGCTCCATGTTGGCTTTCTTGCTAACCTGACGTTTGGGTGCAGGTTTGTCGGTGTCCACATCCGCGTTCTCCTTGGCCTTGGGTGGCTTTGCAGATGCAGGCCGTTTCATCCTTGAAGTCCTTGGAGCTGGAAGCTGCTTGCCATCCTCCTTTGTCTCCTCGGCCTTGCGGGCTTTCTTGCTCGCGTCCTTCTCCTTGGCCTTCTCCTTGGCCTTCTCCTTGTCTCCCTCACTGTTGGTCTGGGGTCGCTTGGCTCGCTTTGGGACTGGCTTGGTGCCTGCCCCTGGCGTCTCAGAAGCAGATGGTTTCTCAGTGTGCTCGCCCTTGTCGTCTTGCTCTCCCTCCATAGTTCCACCCTTTCCACGTCCTCGACCAGGAGCTCGTCCGCGTCCGCGTCCGCGTCCGCGGCCACGCCCCTTGTCCTGCAAAGAAGCATCATCCGTACGCTGCTGCTCTCGGCGTGTAACCAAAGGAACCTGAACAGGGAAAAGGCCGAGAAGAATTCAATGGCTCATTGCCCAAACAGTTGCAAAGAACTATCCAGTCCATGTGACGTTGGGGCTACAAAAGTTGAGGGCTTGATGTGGAACATGATGATATTGATTTGGATGATGTTTTTGGTTTCCCGGCAAAAACGCCATGGCAACGCGTTTGTTAAAATGGAGAGAGCCCTACATCCCCCAAATAACCATGAGAGGCGCCTCCACTTTCAAGAGATCAACATCATGCTCAGCATTGGCGGCTGGCACTGAAGGGGCCGGACCTGATGGGCACACTCCTGCATCAGCTCCCTGCGTAGGCTCATGCCCAGGCTCAGCCATAGGGTCAGGGCCAAAAGGCTCAGAGGAAGGGCTGGGTCCAAGGTCACGCTCAGGATTAGACCCAGGTGGTCCACACTCAACTTCACAGTCAGAAGGCCCAGGTCCGCAATCAACTTCAGGCTTAGACGGTCCAGGCTTGACAGGCGAGTCCTGCAAAATTTGGTTGGGGCCCGAAGTGATGAACCAAGTATGGCATCCAAGCTTCTATACTTTTGGTATGTTTTTTTGGCAAGCCGGTGCAGTAAGCAAAACCATATCCAACATAACTTGAAAACATGACTTAAATAGAAGATATTAGAAGCAACATCAAAGGATAGGCATGCTTTCGTTGTGAACGCAAGCAAACTTTTGAAAGTGGTCCGGGTCCTGGATCACGATGGGATCCAACTCTGCAACGTAGGCAGGATGGGCTGCAGGAATCTCATACTCCAAGGTGGTCATTGAATCCATGGGCACGTCACCGTCGCCTGTCATCAGGGAAGGCTAGGTCTGTCACCCCAACTTGAAATAAATCAATTTTATCTTGCGGATCCTTTTATATACATTAACGACGAAGAGGTCCACAAAGGCATTCTTAATGGAACTGTTTCCTCTCATCTTTTCAGGGTGCAAAAGTTTCAAAGTTCTACAGTATTGGGGTTTGGTGGATAACCGTGAACAAAAAAATATCCAAGAAAGAAATCCTTCAATACTGTTGGGTAAGAAGACAGAACAGTTCGTGCTAATCTATAGATACCGAGTTGCCAGTGATGTTGGCTGAACTTTTCAAGCGGGCCAAGTTGTCCCTCTCCTTTGCTGCCATTCTCTCCCTGCCAGGAAAGCGTTTTGTAAAAGATTGCGCATGTGAAGAAAACTACTTAATTGTCTTTCGGATAGTGAACCAAATTTTCTTTTGAACCCCCAACCTCAAAGCTGCCATCTGCTCCTTGAGCAACTTCTTGCGCTTCGCCTTCTCAGGGTCAACTGGCCTGGGTGGGCCCATGGAAGCGGCAGCTGGATCCTGAGGCGACTTGTCAATCACCGGGGCTGGCGGCACTGAGATCTCATGATTTCCTGGCGGAACATCGCCAGAAGAAGACGAAGGGCCACCCACCTCTGGTTCAAGGAAGGTTTGTTTCTCCCATTCAGGGGATGGCACTTGGGTCTCAAAGAGGTAGTTCCGGGCGTACCAGTCTGATGGAAGCTCAGGGCCCTCCACGGTCACATCCACATCCACATCATGGCTCTTGTCAGGCAAAGGCGAAAGGTTCACATCATCAGCTGATTGCTCTGGCTGTGTGATGGCAACAGACTCTGAATCCCCCTCGGGGTCATACGGATCACTCACCTCACCATCCTCGATAGCCAGCGGATGGACAGGCGGTGGGGGCCCACCCTCACCCCCAGAATCGTCTGACGCCAAAGCACCATCGCCATCGCGGCGACCCCATGCGATATCCAAGATCTCCCAGGCTGCCACCAAGGATGGATCCTGAGACGGTGGCGCGGCAAAAATGGTCAGGTAATTTGGGAGGTCAGAAGGGCCCAAAAGAGCATGATCAAAAGATATAGCCCCATAATATATAGAAAATTGATGAAAATTGATGTGTGTAAGTGTGTTGGTTTCCTTCTTCTATGTGGCTCTGGGGTATGAAAATGTCTTACCAAGATTCCCTCGGCTGTGCCGACTTTGACAGCCACCTGCGAACCAAGTGCGAAAACAATCGCTTCACACCCCATCCGTCCATATTTGTGGCTGCCTGGTCCGGATCCATGACGGCCAGCTCTCGGAACTTTCTTACCTGATGGGAGGCTAGATTTAAACAGGAAAATTGTTGGTTGAGGATGATATGTGTAAACAAGACGAACCACAGAACTATCGTAAAAACATTGGTGCGTTTAAAACATTGATTGCTTTGAGTGGGTCAGAGGTTGGGGTTACAAACGGAATTGTTCACCCAAAAAACATTTCAACCCTTGACCACAAAAGAATGAATGCAGTTGATGATGTTTTCGCCTAACGTACTTCCATCACGCTTGTAAGGAAACCAGGCCTCAGCTCTCAGGAGTCCTATGGGGATACTTGCAGGGCTTTCGCAAAATTGGGTCCACCACTTGCATGTCAGCTCCGGCAAACGCGCATTCAGGCTGCAAGCCTTCATGCTTGGCACGCCTGTTGCCTGAACACTAGGCCATGTTGTGAGTGAACCGGTCTCTCTGGCTCTGGTTCTCAACATACCTTCGGATTCCCAAGCAACTGCTAGCTGCACCTCCATTACGTCAATAGCCAGCCAAACCCTTTCACACCCAACCAAACCTCGACCACTGCGGCTGCGCTGGATTGGTCATATGTAATTAGCCTTTTCCCCGTTTCCCCCTTAATAATTGAGTACATCGTCTACAGAAACATTGGATCCATGCTGGGTGTTCTTTCTTTAGGGGCCCCCAAGTTGATGGATATGGGGATATCTTAAAATATAGGTATACCCATGGATGCCCCAAACCCCCTTTCTTGATCTTCTTGTTTATTAAAAATAGAAAGTTTGGGTCATCCCCATATCCGTAGGAATGGGCATGTGGCAAATGCCCAACCCCTTGTACCCCACAAAGAGATGGCAGCTAAATCGGGTCCTCTATCATGTTGCCTTTGGCCGCAGTCGGCAGCTAGTACCTGCGAAGGCTCTGAAATCTCCAAATGATATGGCCAGGGCTGAGCTAAACTGCTAAACTGAGCTGGCCAGAAATGTTTGGATACAAAAAGAGGGGCACACGTTTTGGATGACGATGGGCGTCATCATGGCTGCATGGAATGTGCCAGGCTGCATTTGTTGGATTTGGCTGGTGACCTTTTATTTCTTATGAACGTGCTTTTAAATTTAGCACTCTGATTTCAAGTGGGTAGAAGGTGGTATTCCCATCTGAAAAAAATGGATCAACTTGATGTAAACCACCATACCGGCTTGGTTCAATGTCATCCCACCTTTCCAAGTTTCAACTGCCTCAAATGAGGCTGTAGATCCACCATAAGGGCCACGTGGCCCAAGCAGCGGCCAGACAGGAATCAGCCAAGTGTCCAAAATCATGAAAAACATAAAAAAGCTCGGGGTCAAAAAAAACAATGACTTACTGAAAAGAACATTTTTTTTTTGAAACAGCAGGAAAAAAAACATACATAGGAAGACATAGGTTATGTATAACGAGTTCCCCGAGAACCACTTCAGAAGCATCCCATGTTTTTTTCGTCAGGACAGGACCTCAATGGTCTCAGCATCCTGCACCACGCTGCCAGTCAGGGAAATGCCTGGGCTGTTGAGGCGACCGGACCTGCACCGGACCTGGGAGTTGAAGCACCTTGGGACCAAAAAAAAAAGGGTAAAACTGGGGTAAATCCCCCATAAAAATCATGGGAAAATGATGATTTAAAAGGAAGCATCCTGCAAATGACCTTAGTTCAGGTGAGTGAATTTATCTGGTTGGTGGTTTCAAACATATTATATCAGCTATATAACTATAACAGTAACCAGATAATGGGCCCATTATAGATTATATCTGGTTATATCATAACATATCCTAGTTATATATCCAAATATATTCCCATACTGCTTGGTGGTTTCAAACATGTTTTTGTCCATTTCATATATGGGATAATCCTTCCCATTGACTCATATTTTTCAGAGGGGTAGGTAGACCACCAACCAGTAACCCAGTGATGTAGGTAAATATACCATGGAGCATATGGAATATATATATATTATATTATAGATGTCATTAGTATATGTTTTTTGTTTATATGGGTAAAACAATGATATAATAGTAAGGTTATATACCATGAATGTGGATTATCTACTATATCTAGTGGATATACCAGTTTTACTATCATGGTGGATAGAACAATGCCATGTGGGTAAAACAATGCAATTTTTACCGCCCATGACTGGTCAATCTATGGTCAATAATGGTTAATAATGGTTAATAGTTGGAATAATGTGGGTAACACAATGATATAACAACCCACCCATGACTGGGAATGGTAGGTTATACTAAAATGGTGATGGCTGGGGGATGGTTTATGTTTTTTTTGCCCCACATTACTAATTCCAAGTCTGGCTAAGTCTAGAAAATACATGAAAAAACAACTTACAAGTCTGGAACAAAACAAATCCCCCCATTTCGTTGGTGGTTTCAACTTGTGTCAGTTTTATTAGTTTTATTCCATACCTGTTTGGAATGATGATTACCAACGGACTCACAAATTCGGGGATTAAACTCTACACCACCAGGTTTGGATCGGGGGAGTTCCCGTGCTACTACAGGCCTTTCCAATTCCAGCCATGTTTCTGGATAAATTATGGTGCAACCTAGCTGTGACCTCACTGCAAATGATTGGAACTGTAAGGGTAACTCTATATATACAAGGTGGTGCCCCCCAGTTATAAGTTGGTTTATAATCCCATTAACTATAGATATATCACCTATAAACCATAGTTATTGGAGTTATAAACCAACTTAGCTATCTAGGGGCACCACCTTGTATATATATATAAGTATCCCAAAATGCCATGTTTCATCTTGGTGAATTGCTTATTTCTACCCTCTTACATCTCTTAAATGGTTGCTTATTGGGACAGATTTCTATTGAATCACCATTTGGGTATGGATCAAACCCTACTATAGCAAACCCAAACAGATAGAAACAAATGGACACCTGGATTTTTCTTGGGAGAACAGGAATCATCGAACTACCATCTTGGCAACACTAGACTCGGCATTTTGAGGGTTGCTTAATATACGCAATGTTTTGGATCAACATCCATTTTCTCAGTGGCCATTTCAGGAACCTAAATTGGAGGTACCTACCACTTTTTCAGTGCTAAATTTCGGGGAATATCCCCACAAAGTATTGCATTATATAGTTTAGTACCTTTATTTTAGGATACTGAAATTCCCACTGATGATAGGGGATAGGCAGCAACATCCAACACCGGGTTTGTCTGATTTTTTCTGAATCCACTATGAAAACTATACATCATTATTTTCTGATTCCAACTTATAAAATGGGATAATCTATATACAGTTATGGCCATGGATATTAGCCCTAACTGGTTATAAATCATGGGATTAATGTCATAAACCATCAATGGGGTTATATATATATATATATAAAAAAGTACTTATGCTTACTTCAATGGGATTAAGGCCATAAACCATACATTTTGGGCTATGCCTATGCTGTCAAGTTGCAGCTGCGACACGGGAGAGCCTCGGATCAGGCCATCCTGAAGTCTGCGAGCAAGGCGAAGAGGAAGGAACTGGCGATGATGCAGGATAACTATGGCTACTTCACGCACGCTGGAAATGCATTTTTTGTTGACTTAATCCAGGGAAATATGAAAAAATAATACTGTATAATATGCATATTTTGTTTTGCTTTTTTTGGTGGGGGATTTAAACATTCAAATAAACATATATAAGATATTGACGTAAAATTAACATATATGAAACAGTGATGTATATAGCTTATATATTGTTTGGAGATTAAGATTTGTTAAATGAAGTTAATCCAGCAGGAACATATTAATGATGTAACTTGTACTATCCCATTATTGTTTTTTTTACTCATGATATTCCCATTAGTGTCTGATGAGACTCTCTATTGTATGCATCTCCCTATATATGACACCCACTCATAACTAGAAATAATTGTTTCTCAATGTCCATGTTTCTGGATTTTGCTTCCATGTTTCGGTGAAAACATTGATAAACAATGGATATATTGATCAATATTAATCAATTGGGAAATTAACCCTTTCTTTCTTGATGTAGTCATTGTCCCACACTTCAGTTGGATCTTGCCGATCATCGCAACATGGGTATGGCTCAAAAGTGGATACCCTCCAAAATGGGTTAAAGGGAAAATCTAAGTATTTGGGGTTGAAAAGCGATGGTTTCAGATTTTCCCAATCCATTGATACCCAAAGATTGTGATCGGACAACAAAACCGATCAGCCTATCACTAGGTTGCTAGGTCCATGTGTTTTGAAGCTTGATACATTCTTGTGTGGCTGGCGTGTCCTCTTTGATTGCTTGTTGCTTAGAATGATGTTGCTTACACCCCCCAAGTATCCCCCAAGTTTGTTGACTAAAATACATTTTTATTAGTTGCAATAATTTTGCTGAGTCTCCCCTTTGTTTTTAAACATACCTCCACTAACTAATATCCACTGTTTCAGGTGAATTCCATGTTTTTTAGTGGTGAAAACGTTCAAATGCGTGAAACCATCCAATTTTCTGGTAAAATCAACAAAGAACTCCAGCAATCATTGTTTTTTCTGTTAGCAGATCAAAACGATTACAAAGGGATACATTGCGCATGCAGTTCACATGTTGGTTGATAGAAGCTGGGTCTGTCTGCAAATAAACTACCGCAAATTTCATGGATAGTGATTTTCCTCCCTATTCAAATGGCCTTCGCAGCATCCATAACTTAGGGGTGTTAACATCTGGTAATTTAACATATATATGGAAAATCGCCATTTTTAATGGGAAAACTCACTATAAATGGCCATGTTCAATAGCTATGTTAGTTTGCAGGAGGGTAACATATGTTAACCATTTTCAGGCACATTCAACTGCTGAATCCAGCATTTTTTTCGCGGCATCAGGTTACCGCGCACTGGACTGGGCCGCGTTGAGTGACTTCAACGAGACGGTCGCTGCGCTGAAACGCGGAGGCAAAAGCGTGGAGGCGAAGTGGGAACTCCATGACTTCCGTTTGGGAACACCCTGGTTTTGCTAGTGGGATAAGTAGGGTTCATCTACTTATAATGGGATAATCATGGGATAATAATTGGATAATGATGGTTAATGATGATTAATGATGATTAATATCTGGTTGGTGGTTTCAAACATTTGTTATTTTCCATTTCATATATGGGATAATCCTTCCCATTGACTTTCATATTTTTCAGAGTGGTAGGTCAACCACCAACCAGTATACCCTCTGATAATTTAACGTAGCTATTGACAATTACCATTTAGTGAGTTTTCCCATTAAAAATGGTGATTTTCCATAGTTATGTTAGTTTACCAGAGGGTAACTGTAACCCACTTACTATATAACTGGGATGAACCGCCATGACTTCCGAAACCTCTGTTCTTATTCTGAAAAATGGTTTGTTGAATGGGTGGGCAGGGTTTGAATGGGTTTGAAACCTCCAGATGTTCTCAAAAAATGGTTTGTGGAACGGGTGTTTAATATTTTTGTTAATTGGTTTTAATGGTGTGTTTCAGTGATAAGATGTAATAAGTATCAAAAACCATGGTGAAATTGGAGTTATGTTCACCAACTTGGCTATCATTTGGGGTCTCCACTTTGTAGGTCTTTACTCTCCATGAGAGGGTTTCGAGTTTCGAGTTTCCTGCTAAGAATTAAAAAAAAAAACTCACACACACACACACCTTCAATGGGGAAAAATGCGTTCTGGTTTCATGTTTTGCCATTCTGGGCGAACTATAACGACCTCACTGTTCTTCCGAACCCTGGAATCATGGTTAGATTGCGGGGAATCATCCCAAAATGGCCGCAAGTTTCAGGTTAGTGAATTAATGTAATTCATTATATATATATATACATATGCATACAATATCATGATGATTTTTTGTAGCATCTCATTTCTATAGTTCTATAGTATTTCTATCATGAAATTTATGATCATTATATAATGAATTTGCCCAGATTCATGATGAAATTGCCGAGCAGTCAAGCATCTCAACTGGACACTGCAGGAGGCGGCCGATGTCGAACAGGCTCCGGAGGCGAGAAAGTTGGGCTGATGTATTATACAAACAAAACATAACAAAACTATATGGTCAATGGGGATTATAAAACTATATGGATAATGATACTTATATAATTAATTAATGATACTTATAATTATAACTTGTAACATTGTAAATAATCAATGGGAATTCCAGGATCCTAAAATGGAGGTACTGTACCATATAAGGGTATATTTTGTGGTGATATTCCCTTACATAGGCCTTACATAGGCCTTATATATGGTAGGTACCTCCAATGTAGGATCCTGAAATGGCCGTTGATATAAATGTTTTTTGTTTCAACCAACATTCACGTAACTGGGGGCGTCCACGTAGCAGGGATCCAAACTGATGAGAATTACGCTGGTCTTTGTCCCGCATTGCTAGGGTTATGCCATTGATAGCTGGGTTATTATATGTTATAACCTCAACTTACAAACCAATTACCCTCTGGTAAACTAACAGTTTGCTATTGAAAATGGCCATAGAAATAGTGGATTTACCCATGAAAAATGGTTATTTTCCATAGTTATGTTAGTTTACCAGATGGTATTAAGTGGGATAGTCCTCCAAGTGGTTCCTGACTGGGTCAACCAACGTCGTGCTTGCGTGTGGATGATGTCATATTGAACACTGATGCTACAAGGGTTGAAGGAGGGGGGTTCTACTTGGGGCAATATCCAAACCACGTTCCCATCCCCAGAACAGTTTTTTCCCCAGGCCCTAAAGCTTTTTCCCGCTGCTGACGCTGCAGCTTGGCGTGTTGCGGCGGTTTGAGGATCCAAGATCTTGGAGTGAGGCGAAGCCGACTTCCCCTAGGCTTTTCCGCAAGTTTAAAAAGAATAAGCTGGGATGTTGACCCTCAACACCGGAAACATATATACTGGCAGCATGTTTCGGAGAACATGTACATCTAATGGTACTACAATGATATATGTATACATGTCATAAGGTGTATACACATATATTTGTATATCATACAGTACATCATGTATCATGTATATATAATGATATATATATACATATACATATTTATCTACATCCTTGGTGTAAAAATGACTCACCAGTAGAATTCCTCACCATAAAAGCCGCCCTCGGATTCTGAGGACGGAGGCCTGGGTGCCTGCAGCGTGGAGGGTGCCTGTGATGGTGGCTGGAGGGGGATGGAAGGCTTGGTGCCCAGCGAAGCTTGGACCTGAGGGGAGTGGTTATAGTTATTACCCTCTGGTTATTTAACATAGCCATGGAAAATGGCCCATTTATAGATGATTTTCCCATTAATACCTCCATTTATAAGGGATTTTCCATGGCTATGTTAAATAGCCAGATGGTATTCATATTATAGTTCAAAAGTATTTACATCATTTTATATCGGGTTTGTTAGTTTATAAGCATTTGTAACCTTTATATGATTATATATAAATATATATGTTTATTAGGCTGAGGCTGGGGTTCATTGAGGGTCTATTAACCACCAACAACCAGTTTACTAACGATCTATTACCAACTAACTCTCTGAACCCCCAATGGATACATGGTATACGCGCAGGACTCGGGGATGTATGATCACTAGGGGTATGAACTATGAACCAGTGATTAAACGGGATCCTCCAGGTAGGAAACTATGTTTAATTTTACCCTTTGGTTATTTATCGTAGCTATGGTATAGATGGCCCATAGAAATAGATGGTTTACCGAACTTAATAGCATGGTGATTTTCCATGGCTATGTTAGTCATAACCAGATGGTAATTGTAGTTGATATTTTGCGCCAAGTTGCGCTTGATTGAGTTTATGCAGATAGCTGCCAGTGTCCCAAAAACAAGGGGATCATCAATTTCTGTAGTAGCTGCATGGTGGGGCTGGGGGGATACCTTGGAACTACAACAGCCATATCAAAGAAACCTGGCGATTTCAGCTTGGTGACCTCTTTGTTTTTCTCCCACAAACATAATCAAGTGTTGTATAGTTGGATTAAAACATGAAATCGCTGGGATCGATTTCAATCACAAGCGCCGGCGATTTCCGGGTCTTCGGACTACTTGTGGACCACTTGGACCACTTGGGCCACTCGTTTCTTGCCTGAGGAATGGTTGCCAGATGAACCTTGTGCTGTCGATGTCATTGAGAGCTCTCAGTGCCACGGTTGCAGCAGAAAAATGGTCGATCCGAAGAGTCAGATGTTTCCTAACCCAAATGCTCCATGGTGCTGGTATATTTACCATTATTTACCTACATAACTGGGTGATGAATTGGACAAGGGCAAATGTTGGGATTCATATTCCAGCACCATGGGTTGCATTTGGGTAAGGCTATTAATGCCAGTTTCATAGTCATTGGTTTGGTTTCCGAGAACATTTTACAAGTAAATCAGGACATACCATTGAATTTATCTTTATCAGGAAGCCACCATCATCATCATCACCACCATCATCATCATCATCACCATCACCATCACTATCACCATCACCATCAACATCACTACTACTATTACCATATCACTAGGGTTACTATTATCATGAACCATTGTGAAATTATACTGTAGCTGTATATTCCATAGTTGCCCAGAGGCTCCCATCGTCTGAGGTTCGATGTGGATATCTTCCATAGGCGCCGCCGTCACGTCGTCGCGTCACGTCGGGCCAGGGTGGTTGGGCGTTGAAGCCTTCCAGGTGAGAAATCCAAAGGTGAAACGCGTGCACCTGGCAAGTGGGTCGTTAAGAAAAAGATGTTGGGCCCTAGCTATTGGCGTAAACATTTGGGACGATACTGCAACAGTCAGTGATTCCCAATCCGGTATGTGTGTATATATATAATTATATATATTATATATATATATATATGTGCGTCATCATATGTCAGGCCTTGGCGTAGTTGATTCAACCACAAATGAATCGTTCGAAGCCCATCAAGGGTTTTTTGGATTTTGTTTGACCCAGTTTGGTGTGAATTCTTTGAAAGGATGATGGAAACCAATCAGCTTTGTGCTGTTCCAAGTTCCAACAAAACTGGCACGCCAGGCACTACATGTTTCATCCTCGTCCGCTTCTGATCAAAGGCACGGCATGGGATGCTGTTGGGATTTCTCCCGTGAGCACTGCGTGCCCGTAGAGCATGGCACGGGTTCCTTAAACCTGTTTCACTTCTGAAGAAAGGGTTTGGAATGGTTTGGATGGTGGTTTTCTATGGTTTTCTGCTTTGAGGTTGATATAGATGCTTCAGCGCTCCTTGCCAATGGCGATGCACTCTAAGATTCTAATTTACTAGTTAGTGGTTCAAAGTCCGATTTTGGTGGCTAGTCAACATTCCCATTTTGGTTGATCAAGATCCTGGCAGGGATTGTCACATTCCCATGAACTGGGAATCCCGAAGGGCCTTCTGGGAATGAATTCCATGGCAACGGAAAATCCATACAATATATTTATGGATATACGAATGTATAGATGTATTTTCATGAACACCTCCATTGTTTTGTGTATTTTCCCATGTTTTTCCGATGCTTTCGTATGATTTTCCCCAAAAAAAACATCCCATGTTTTCCTTGTGGATGTCCGGTAGTTAAAAAATCCCAGGAGCAGGGCGACCCAGCAACGAAAGCGCCGGCCACTGGACGCGCGATGGACTGCTACTGCAAGCGGGGGAGCGAAAGGTCGAGGCGGAGCTTTTTCCGCGAGCGCAGGCGGTTCGAGTTGGGGGAGCTGATTTGGGTCATGAGGGTCAAGATGAGGAATTTAGAGAATTTAGATGAAGGGGATGACGCTGTTTTGTTTTTTGTTTTGATGTCGATTTTGAGCCCTGTCTTGTTTTTTCCGTTTGCTGGAGGTTGTTATGTAGATGTTTTTAGTGGTGGTATCACTTCATGCCCTAAGGTTTAGGATGGTTTGAGCTTGTCAGCGAGCCGGATAACACTGTAAGAACGTTCCTGGGTAGTCAAGTTATTTGCGGTTTCAAACATCTACCTTAAACCTTAGTTGACCCATAGAAACTGGGGCAAAAAAAGTGAAAGTAAGAGGATTCCTGGGTAAATGGATGAGTAAATACATGTACATACCAATCTTTATGGGTCTTGATTGCGTGTCTAAGCTCCATGAAATGTGTTATTTTCAGACAACTCCCATACTGTACCGATCATACATGACCATACCATATTCTTGTTCAGACATCATGTTATATAGTATCTTGACCAGATGATATCACCATTGAAGGTCTTATGGTCTTATATCCCTATTGATATCCATTAGCTACACAATATGACATCAAACTCCGTATCCCATTATAGATTATATATGATTATACCATATTATATCATATTTAGTTATATATCCAAATATATTCTCATAGAATGCCTCATGTCCCCAGAAAACTGGTTAGATTCCCAGTTCCCATTTGGACCTGGCTTTACGACGTGGGGAGGTCTTTGATGGTTCCCATCCGCAGAAGATGACTTTGAGGTGGGCACGATACGATGCGCAGTTGACCCCGGGGGTTGATAGTGAACTGCAGTATATATTACCTCCCCTCCCCACACACACAAAAAAAGAAATAGAATTCGGTAAGGTACCAGTATTTGAGTATAGGATCTTACTCTTTTATCTTCTTTTGGGGTACTTTTTGTACATATTCTAGCAGAGGATAGAAGATCATTAATAGAAAAATTTGGGGGTGCGATACGTAATAATTAGATATTTTTGCTATTCTATCTTTTTGGGCGTGTTACTATAACATTCGAGGAGGAGAAACAGTGACGGAGGAATCACCAAACCAAAAATATGGGAGTTCACAACAGAGATAGTGGTTTTGTGATGTTTTGTGTGGTTTGTTGTTGGTTTATATTGGTTTAATGTTTAATGGGGAGAACAGTGTCGTTTGTCGAACACTTTTTTGATGTATGTGTATGTATGGTCCATATTTATAATATAATATAATATTATATAACATAATATAATATAATATAATATAAGTATATATATATATTATATTATATATATTATATTATATATACATATACATATATAATATTAGATGCATATCATGATATCTTCTTTTTGGTCACAGTCCATTTTATGTCAACATGTGTCAACCCCGGCCCCGATGCCACCGGGGACGCCCGGATCGCGTCGCCAAGTGCAGGGAGTATGTCAGCCTCCTGGAGAGTCGCACCGAGACCACAGCGCGGAAGAAGTGTCTTGACCATAGAATCATAGAGTGTTTAGGTGTGGTATGGATCAATACCTATTAATACCATTTTGAATGGGATGAACATCCATTTACCAGCTATTTTGGGGTTCACTAGGTACCAGGGTTTTGACCCATCCCCATATATATATATATATATACACATAATTATACATATACCTAGTCACCTAGTCCTGACCATTGATTGGAAAAAGAGCGACAACACATGCAATACACATACATAATTATACATATACCTAGTCACCTAGTCCTGACCATTGATTGGAAAAAGAGCGACAACACATGCATATATATATATATATACATACATACATACATACATACATACATACATACATACATACATACATACATACATACATACATACATACATACATACATACATACATACATACATACATACATACATACATACATACATACATACATACATACATACATACATACATACATACATACATACATACATACATACATACATACATATACATACATACATACATACATACATACATACATACATACATACATACATACATACATACATACATACATACATACATACATACATACATACATACATACATACATACATACATACATACATACATACATACATACATACATACATACATACATACATACATACATACATACATACATACATGACATACATACATACATACATACATACATACATACATACATACATACATACATACATACATACATACATACATACACATACATACATACATACATACATACATACATACATACATACATACATACATACATACATACATACATACATACATACATACATACATACATACATACATACATACATACATACATACATACATACATACATACATACATACATACATACATACATACATACATACATACATACATATATACACATATTATACATATATACTGAACATTGATATTTAACCCATGTTTTTTGTGGCTCTCTTTGCCCACATGACCCTTTCTTGGGGCCTTTCAAGCCAGCTGGCCCTATGTCGCATGCTCCGACATTGGAAATCCATTGGGAATAGCATGGACAAAAATGCTGGGGATACTCGAATTGAGTAGTGTTTTTCAGGAAGTTGGAAAAGAGATCAATAGTGTTTGTGTAACATAATGTGTTTTATCAAATTTCAACACCAAAAAGTGTTTACGTCGACAAATGTGTGTTATATCACATCAACTATCCTCTGGTAAATTAACATAGACCCTGAAAATAGCCTAGTTTTAATGGAAACTAATCTTCCAAACCCTATCTGCCAGGGTCTATGTTAATTTACCAGAGGGTAAATGGTCTGTGTTTATTTGGTGTGTCCCCATTCCAAGACGGTAGCGCAGATCGAGTTGACCCATGGAGTCCCATGGAGATGGAGGTCTTCAAGGTACAAACCATCATTCCCAGATTTTATGGTGATTTTATGGTGATTTTATGGTGATTTTATGGTGATTTTATGGTGATTTTATGGTGATGTATGGTGACTTTATGGTGATTTTATGGTGATTTATGGTGATTTAATGGGATTTAATGGGATTTAATGGAATTTAATGGGATTTAATGGGGTTTAATGGGAATTTCTGATTAATTTGGGTAAATTATAACGACCTCACTGTTCTCCCTCACTGGGAATGATGGTTAGTAGGCGTAACTATCCCCAAATGACCGCAAGTTTCAGGTGAGTGAATTATTCTAATTTACCCAGATCCATTGAACAAATAGAAACAGTGTTTTGAATAGTTGGCTTAAATGTGTTGTTCATAAATGTGGTTACCCTCTGGTAAATTAACATAGACCCTGGCAGAAAGCCTAGTTTTAATGGTTTCACGAATCTTCCAACCCCGACAACTGCCAGGGTCTATGTTAATTTACCAGAGGGTATCTCTTTTATGAATTACAGATATCCATGGCCTTCTCTTTCATAAATCGTTGACATCCCATGAGGCTGCACTATGCGTATCTTCCGCTGGACGTGAGCGAGGCTGGTGCCGGTGCTGAGTCGGGACATGCTGAGAGATGTCGGGACTCCGCAATGGATACCCTCTGGTAAACTAACATAGCTACGGAAAATCACCATGTTTACTAGGTAAATCATTGAAGCTGGGCCATTTTCCATAGCTATGGTCAATTACCAGAGGGTATCTTAAAAGAATCCACAGAATTAACATCTGATGATTTCTGATATAGAAATTAATCCATGTATGAAGTGTAAAAAATACTTAAATGATGATTTACATATATTGACCTAGTAGAAAAAAATACGGTGACTTTCCATAGCTACGTTAGATAACCAGAGGGTAGTGTTGGGAGCCGTTTATCAATCTGTTTTGGGATTTGACCTACTGTTCTCCATGTCGCTCCTGGGAGATGTATTCCGCCATAATGACTGATGGATCTGCAAGATTCATGTGGAAGTATATAATTGTAAAATTATACATATATATATATACATATGATATACATCCAATATTCGTGTCTTAGATGTTACTCTTTCATGTTTTGTTAGACTTCACATCCACAGTTTTGTGTAATCCCTTGCCCCTAATATTGAAAACTCCTGTATAAACCATGGTTTAGCACAAGATAAAAGTATATTTTTGGGACCATTTAGATCCATGTAGAGGGGGTGTTTATATCAGGGCATAGGAACAACAACTAACAACATCAAAAATCTATCAAAGGGTTTATTGGTATCATTACAATTTTGGAATAGAACAATGTTTATTTTAGTACACTATCAGGGGAATAGAACGATATCAAAGCGTTTACTCACTATTTTGGATACCATTAGTCATTATTAATCACTATTTGTGTACTAATATCCACATTTCGATTGCAAAAGTGCAAGATTCCCATGGTGCCAGGTCTATCTCAACTTCTCAGCGACACTCCCCGAGATCGTAGATGGCAAGGTGGCAATGCAAGATTCACAGACCCATACACCCCCCCTCCAAGAAGCCTTAACCTCACCAGTACTCATTGACTTGCCCAAAAGAGCTGAGCACTACTAAGCTCTACTAAGCCTTACTAAGCCCTAGTAAAGCTTACTAAGGTCTACTAAGGCCAAAATAGCACTCAATGCATTGAGCACTACTGAGTGCCTTCAATTTTTGGTCAAAAACTTTCTGTCGATGGTTTTCATGTCCCATCGAGCACTGCTGAGTCACTACTAAAGCTTACCAGTGCTCAATTCAAGTTGGATCAGGTGGGGCCTACATGTTCATGCAAAATAATGAAAAACATTAACAATGAAAACAATGAAAAAATATCGAAAAAATTGAAAAATAATGAAACACATTGAAAAAAAACAAGGAACAATCATGACACACACTGAAGCAAATAATGAAAACAATGTCAAACATTGAAAAACATAATGAGCAATATTGAAAAAAAACAATGAAACATAATGAACACCATTGAAAAAAAACAATGAAAACCATGAACAACATTGAAAAACCAATGAAAAATAATGAAAAACTACATTGAAAAAACAATGAAAACTAATGAAAAACAAACAATGAAAAAACATTGAAAAAATAATGAGGTTGCATTCACAAAATACAGTTAGCTAGAAACCCCATCATTGAGGTTTACCAAATAACAGCATGGCAATAACACCATTTTTTTGTGAGCACAGTTGAAATCAAATCACCAATCCATGTACTCGCTCAACAAAAATCAAAACCAATCAAAAACTGTGGCAAAAGCCAAGAAAACTTCAGCAAAACAAATGGAACAGGCTGGGGATTGCATTTCTCAGCAGTGCTCAGCAGTGCTCAATTTGCAACTAATTTCAAGGTTTCTTGCCTTTTTTGACAAGGTCAGGGTGAAAGATGTGAGAACGAAGCCAACAGAAGTAGCGCAAAATCCATCAAAAATCGGAAAAACATTGAGAATGCTATTGAAATGCTTGTTAGTTTCAAGTTTCAAGGTGAAAAACATGGGAATGATTGCAAAAACTGCCGAATTAAAACCCATCAAAAACTGTGGCAAAAACCATGAACACTTCAGCAAAACAAATGGAAAAAGGCTGGGGATTGCATTTCTCGGCCGTGCTCAGCAGTGCTCACTCTGCAACTAATGCCAACGTTTCTTGAGTTTTTGCAGGGTTAGGGTGAAAGAGGCGAGAACGAAGCCTAAAAAATATCACAAAATCTATCAAAAACTGCGGTAAAAACAATGAACAGTTAGCAAAACTTTGGAAAAACATTGGGAATGCTATTTATTGAAATGCTGTGTTTTTTGACAGTTTCAACTTGAAAAACAAAGGGAATGATTGCAACAAATTACCAAAACCATCAAAAACTTTGACAAAAACAATGAAAACTTCAGCAAAACCAATGCAAAAAGGCTGGGGATTGCATTTCTCAGCAGTGCTCAGCAGTGCTCAATCTACAACTAATTTCGAAGTTTCCTGAGTTTTTGCGGGTGAAAGAGCTGAAAACGAAGCCAACAAATACCACAAAATCCATCAAAAATTGTGGACAAACAATGAAATCTGACAAAAACAATGGGAAAACACACGCAAAACAAATGGAAGAAGGTGGGGAATTGGATTTCTCAGCAGCACACAGCAGCACACTCAGCAGCACTCAGCAGCACTCAGCAGTGCTCAATCTGCAACCAATTTCAAGGTTTTCTGACTTTTTGCAGGGTCAGGGGTGAAAAAGGTGAGAACGAAGCCAAAAAAAAGCAAAATCCATCAAAAATTGAGGAAAAACAATGATGTTTGGACAAAACAATGGGAAAAACAGTGTGCATGCTATTGAAATGCTGTTTTTTTTTGCAGATCCAAGAAGAAAAAATTGAGAATGATGGCAAAGAGAATGATGGCAAAAAACGACCAAAACCATCAAAAACTGTGGCAAAAACCATTAAAACTTCTGCAAAACAAATGGAAAAAGGCTGGGGATTGCATTTCTCAGCAGTGCTCAGCAGTGCTCAATCTACAACTAATTTCGAAGTTTCCTGAGTTTTTGCGGGTGAAAGAGCTGAAAACGAAGCCAACAAATACCACAAAATCCATCAAAAATTGCGGACAAACAATGAAATCTGGACAAAAACAATGGGAAAACACACGCAAAACAAATGGAAGAAGGTGGGGAATTGGGTTTCTCAGCAGCACACAGCAGCACACTCAGCAGCACTCAGCAGCACTCAGCAGTGCTCAATCTGCAACCAATTTCAAGGTTTTCTGACTTTTTGCAGGGTCAGGGGTGAAAAAGGTGAGAACGAAGCCAAAAAAAAGCAAAATCCATCAAAAATTGAGGAAAAACAATGATGTTTGGACAAAACAATGGGAAAAACAGTGTGCATGCTATTGAAATGCTGTTTTTTTTTGCAGATCCAAGAAGAAAAAATTGAGAATGATGGCAAAGAGAATGATGGCAAAAAACGACCAAAACCATCAAAAACTGTGGCAAAAACCATGAAAACTTCTGCAAAACAAATGGAAAAAGGCTGGGGATTGCATTTCTCAGCAGTGCTCAGCAGTGCTCAATCTACAACTAATTTCGAAGTTTCCTGACTTTTTGCAGGTCAGGGTGAAAGGGGTGAGAACGAAGCCAACAAATAAAAATTACGGAAAAACAATGAAATCTGGACAAAGCAATGGGAAAAAACCCGCAAAAAAAATGGAAAAAGGATGAAAAAGGCTTGGGATTGTATTTCTCACCAATTTCAAGGTTTCCTGACTTTTTGCAGGGTCACGGTGAAAAAGGTGAGAACGAAGCCAAAAAAATAACGCAAAATCCCTCAACAATTACGGAAAAAAACAATGAAACATGTACAAAACAATGGGAAAAAACACGTAAAAACATATGGAAAAAGGCTGGAAATTGCATTTCTCAGCATTGCTCAGCAGTGCTCAATCTGGAACCAATTTCAAGGTTTCCTGACTTTTTGCAGGGTCATTGTGAAAGAAGTGAGAACGATATGCCCCATCAAAAAGACTGTGGTTAAAAATCTTTGAAAACTTAGCAAAACAATTGGAGAAACATGGGGAATGGCATTGAATTGCTGTTTTGTTTGCAGGCTTAAGGTGAGAAACATTAAATCCTGGGTAGAAATTATTTGAAAAAATGTAAAAACTATATAAAATGAGATGTAATATTAAAAAGAACAATTTAAGAGATTTCAACAGCTCATCATTGACTCCAGGTTGTAATTTTCCGGTTGGTTTGCCATTCCCCAAAAAGTATCCTTTGGTGTGAAACCGAGAGGAATATTGCTAACTCCAGGGCTCTAAAATTAACTAGGGAAAGGTCCACTGGGGATTCGGGTGAACGGTTATGACCCCAAAGCTTATTTATCATTTCACGATCGAATCACCACTATGGATCTATTTTTGGGCTATGTTTCCCATTGTCACATTGGTGGTGTTCCCTCAATTGTTTTTTGGGATACGTAGATTTTCAGGGTTTTGTTTTGCGGAGTACCCAGTAACACTCGATAGGGTTTTTACCACTCACCAGCGCTCACTGGCACTCAATGCTTTTTGCTGATTGTTACTGAGTCTCAGCACTTTTGGGGGGGGGTTAGCGGGGGGGGGTCTACGGTTCTGTGAAATGTGCCGTCGCAACCTCGCGGTGTGCGGGGTAAACCACGAACAAACCATCTATATAAAAATGGGAAGTTTTACCGTCAAGAATGGACATTTCACCGTTGAACATCCTTGAGCCATCTAGATTTTCAGGATTTTTAACGATAAAAAACTGTTTTTAAGCATCAAACATGGATGTAGCTGGGCACTTTTTGTGCCCCTCCATAGTTTGCTTGGCGACATCACGATTCATCAAAAAACTCACCATGAATTCATGGGGAAAACCCACCTGGATGGTGAAGTTTTCTTCAAAAGCTCAAAACCAACTTACTGTACTTGGTGGTTTATCCCAGTTAGTAAGTGGGTTATAACTCCACTTTTTTGAGTGGATTAACCCTACTTATCCCATTTGAAACCTGGGTTATAACCCACTTACTAAGTGGGATGAACCACCAAGTACTGATCAGAATATTTCAGCAGAACGACCATATTGTCAATTACAAATAATTGCAATACATCAAATGGCATGTAGACTGGCTATGCTTGTTTTAATGTTCTTTTTTTTTTTAAAAACAAATCAAACCATCGCACCTACCATAAGTTCGAATGACAAATCCAAAGCCATTGTATTTTTCATCCTGAACCACATGGAACCACATGGTTTAAATTCACAATCGTTTAAAAAATAAGAACATATCATCCAATAATCCATTTCCATCCTGACTATTTCATACTATTTCATACTATTTCATACTATTTCATACTATTTCTAGAATCGCTGCTGTCATATTCCCATCATATTCCTATTTTAATACCTATTTTCCCAATTTCACATAATATATATATATATATATATAATTGTCCTGGATTCTAAATAATGACACACCCATATGGTTGAATTTCACATATGGTCATGGTTCAAATTCACAACTGCATCATTCAATAATCCGTATATCTATCCCATTTTGCAACTATTTAAGACATCCCAAGGGGTTCTTCCAAGAATTGTTGCTTGTATTCCCATGATATTCCCATCCCCCTATCACTGTCCCAAACACCAGTCCCAAATATCTGTGAAGTCCTTCCTCCTTACCATGGTTTCTGGGGATATGTTTAATATGAATGGAGGATGGGATGATTTATTATAATAACCATTATATTCCCATGATAATCCCATTACAAGCCCATTGAACAATATGTCCGAAGCAAAAGCCTCTGTTGTTCCTATTCTATCAAATTTCTCCATGATGTATCTTATCATACAATAATGTTTAAAGGATCATATTAAAACTTCCTGTATTAAACTCCAATAAACTATATAGTACATATATTTTTATATGATTGTATTATGTTTTATTGTATTGTAATGCCAATAAACATCAGGTGATCCCATCAAACTCCCATCAGCAAAAAGGAACGATCATCCCATAACTGGTTGGTTTTCAGAGGGGTAGGTATGCCACCAAGAACCAGCTATTAAATTTTCATGGGATCCATGGGATATCTATCATTAAATGGGGAACCTGACTGAAAATGGGAAAATCATTATTCATTTCTATCCCATTGTCCATTCTCATAAACATTACAATCTGTGTAAGTTGCTTTATAACCCCATTGCCCATAAGTATATCCTCCCTAAGCCCAACAGGTCGCTGCATGAAATCCCCATTGTTGACTAAACCAGCATTTTTCCTATGTGTTCCCCCTGTCCAGGCTTACAAACAAGCACAAATCAGCTATAAACTCTATTGAATCCATTTAAATCCCCATTGTTCATTGGCTAAATCATCATTCTTGTTGGTTGAATCACAATTTTTGTCGGTGAAATCCATTCTTTTCCATCCGAGTTTTCCCATGAAAAAACCCTGTTAAAAACAGGTGGAACACATGGGCAGCGTCTTCTTGTTGGGCGGTGCCTTGATGGGAGCCCCGCCTCATCACCACGGCCCTGCGTTGAACAGCTTGGCCTATGGAGCCTTGGATGCCTTGGGGCCGCGTGGGGAAGTGACAAATGTGTTGGTGGCTGCCAAACCCCTGTGATGATTAGTTCTGGGATTCTGGATATATCATGGAAATATACTGGACATTAAGAATATCTATGAATATCTATGAATTATCTTCCTGTTGGTTGATGATTAGTTGATTACTTGGTGGTTCATCCCACGAATCGTAACTGGGTTATAATCCTAGTGGACTAAGTGGACTTACCCTACTTATCCCATTTATAACCAGGGATTATACTTTTACTACCCATTATAATAATCCAAGAACAGGTAATCCCTGTAAACCAACCAGTATAATGGAATGAGGGATTTTGAACACTGCTCAAATGAAGGTCTCATGGGGATTTCATGTATAAAAATGGTGATGACTGGGATATGTTATGGGATATTTTATGGGATATAATTGGTAAATCTATGATGTATGGATAATTTGTTATTTTATGGGATATATATTGGTAAATTTATCATGTTCGAATGTGGTTTCAGTGGTTTCCAATGATAAAAATAGGAATTTCATGGAGATATAAGGAGTAAGGTGATCAAATTCACCAACTTCATACGTGTTTTTTGTAATTATTCCTGGGGACAAAAAGTGGTGATTTTATCCCATGGAAATGATTTTTGAACCTCATGGGAACGATATAACCAACAACTTTTGGGAAAACAAGTGGATGGATAAGGGGTTAAGCATCAAACATGGGTGTGTCTGAAAATGGGGTCCCGATTTTCCCAAGTTTTTTGTTTTGCCGTTTAAATAGGTAAAAAAAAACGGTTTTTAACCCATGAATTCTTCGGTACACCATTCATATAGATATTCATAGATATAAGTGAAGTATCATGGAAATATACTGGACATGTAGTTGGCCGTGTAGTTGGAATATGATAATTATTGGTATTGTAATATACCCTCTGGTAAACTAATATAACTATGGAAAATCACCATTTTTAATGGGAAAACTCACTATAAATGGCCATTTTCAATAGCTATGTTAAATTACCAGAGGGTATTATTTCTTATCATATTACCCCACGCAAACTTCCAACACTTTTTGCAACATGTGCAGGTACCTATCCCTCAATTGACCCATCAGAAATTGTATTTACCATCATTTACCATGATTTGCTATGATTTACTCAGCATTCCCCATGAGTTTCCATGATATAACACCATTCTATCATCATTTATCATCATTTACCGGTGAGCAAACATGGCAATGGAACATCCGCCATTTACAGATGGCTTGACATGATTGATTCGCAGATTCCAATGATATTCCTATTACCCATATGCTCCATGTATGGAGTATTTACCCAAAGTCACTTAGGGGCAAAATGTTGGCAAATATACAATGTGAGGCCCCAGTTCGATAGCTAAATTGCTTTCTAACTCCAATAACTATATGGTTTATGGTGCGAACTAGTTACTGCGGCGAATCTAAACCAACAAACATAACGTGGCCGGGGGCACCACATTGTACCATACAGATAGATGGAGCTCGGGGATCTGCGTTCAAGGCCAGAAGCTTTGGTTCTTGGACCCACCCGGCCGAGAAATCGTGGCGCACGAAAGCATGTACGATGCTCGATCTGCGGCAAGGTTTGAACGCTGGGCGCCCAACGGGTTTGTTTGTTTAAAATGGTGATTGAATTGCTGGTTGGTGGTTTCAAACATGAATTTTATTGTCCATTTCATATTTGGGATGTCATCCTTCCCATTGACGAACTCATGTTTTTCAAGATGGTTATTGCACCACCAACCAGATTGAACTGAAGCAGCAAAATGGTGGTTTTATATGGTTTCATGGGGATTTCACACGGCATGTATTGGGATCGAATTTGAATAAAAGGGGGCCCCATCTCCAATTGGGAGAATCATGGCTCAATGGAATGGGATATTAATATGCGATCGTGGGTTATTCCATAATTATCATATGGTTATTCACAATCCCATATGCTCCATGTATGGTATATGTTTCTACATTTGGGTCATTTTTAGGGCAAATGTTGGTAAATGTTCCATACATGGAGCATATGGGAATTAAAATCATTATTATCACTATGGATAGTATAATAATATTATCACAATGGTTATCCAATGGAATGTTTGAATATGCGAAGGATGGTGGACAATCTCTGAATCCAGGCAACTGAAAGTTTAGATTTCTATCCTGGCTTTGGGGTTGAACGATGATGATAATCCTGATAGATTCTGGATAAAGATATTTAAATCTATATATAAATTGATTGGATGACGGAAATGGAGGAATGATTGGATATGTCCTAATCATCCATGTGTTTACAGGGGATACAAGATGAGCCATTCTTCCAACGTGCTTTGGCACCACCATTGCTACGTGTTGGGCCAGGTTTCCGTAGGCCGTCCGTTCGTCCTTGGCGTATGGCATGAGTTGAGAAAAAAACCCTCCTGTTGTCACCACAGTGACAATGGAAAATCCACCAATTACCCACAGGATCCATGGTGCTGCTATATACGGTGACATTTACCATCAGTATACCCCAAATGTTAGCATATATACCATACATGGATCCTATGGGTTATAGCTGATGTTCCTATAAAAAATGCAGAGGATTTCCCAGGATTTCCCAGGATTTCCCATTGTGGCGTATCCTTGGCGGAGGGTATAGAAGATTGCTCCCACGTATCTCAGGACTACCTGCTTCGAACCAAAGGAGCGTTTGGGGCTCAGCGTTGGCTGGAGCAAAGGTTCGGGTGTTCCCCTGGAATCGAAGGTGGCAACGGAAAGTTCATGAACATCATTGGAAAAAATCTAGGATTTGATCAATGTTCAGTATTTCTCAATTAAACAAATCCAGTGTTTTTTCTTGTTGAAACTCATGTTTTCTTTCGTTGCCATGTGTGATTGCCTTCTGGGGATGGGATTTCACCATGACGGATCCTAACGGTGCTGCTATAATCTGCTATATATGGTGCTCCATGTATCCCATCAATGTCAGCCCCATTTATGTTAGCATAAATAGCAGCACCATGGATCCTCTGGGTATGATTAAAGAGCTTGGATCTATTCAAGGCCCAAGGCCTTACAGAAAGAGGAATAGAAAGGGCCATTACCTTCCGGTAAAACGTGGCAATGGAAAATGGCCAATTTATAGATGCTTTTTTCACCTGGAAACCTCCATTTATAGGGGATTTCCCATTGCTATGTTTGATTACCGGAGGGTAAGCAAGTTGTTGCCAATATGTGTTTGTTGAAGTTTCTTCCATGATCAGTCCACAGTCCATTGTGGATGGCAAGTCCAAGTCCCATAAATTTGGGGATAGAAGATCCCAACCCATAGGATCCATGGTGCTGGTATATATGCTAACATAAATGGGGTATATTGATGGTAAATGTTACCATATATAGCAGCACCGTTAGGATCCTATGGGCAATAAATTGTCAATTTGGGATATTTTTTCGGAATTTTCTGAAGAATTGTTTCACAATATCGGTCATACGTGGCTTTGCGTCCCGGAACTTTGATTCTGGCTGACTCGAGGCTCACATCAAGGCGCTGCGTGCAAGAGGCTGGGGACCTCCTTTTCGTGCCACTTGGATCACTTGGGCGCAGCCAGTGATGCCTCTCCGGGAGAAAAATGCCACTTATAAATGCTCGTTAAAAATACCAATTTGAGATGCCACTTGCCACTTATAATCACTTATTTTTCAGTGATGATGACTGTAGCACAGTGATTGGAGAAAAACGTTGATCAACTGGACCGCCGAGGCCTAGGGGTTGGACCCATGGCACCCTTTGCCTTAGCCGTGAATGTGTCGGCGTCTCCTTGGAGAGCCGTGGTGAGCCATGGGGGTGGATTTGTTTTTTCCGCAAATAGTGGTGGAAACCCAATATGAAAGGGTTTCTAGTGGGTTTATTGTTGGGTTATAACCATTTATAACCAACAATAGGTGGAACACCCAATCTTAATAGATGGAAAACTAACAATTTGTATCAAATTGTGCGAGTTATTCATGTGGTAAAGCCATAGCGATGTGTTAAAAAAAAAACTAATCTGGTATGCCAGATGTAAAACTCCGAATACAATGATGACTCCACGAATGTCCCAATATGGTAGGCGTAACATGGTGTAACCCCACGAATGTACTGAAATCTACACGGGTACAACTGGTGGCCCAGGATTGAAGACATAGGTGGGACAGATTTTGGGGGAATGGCTATTGAATTAGTCAATGGATTGTTTTTTTCGGGAAAATCTTACCCGGAAACCATCGATTTTCCCATTTCGTATGGGGCTTTCCGGTTTCAATTTTCCCAACAAAACCAATCCATTGAATCAGGTCGCTATGAGATGCTTGTGATGTTTTCCGAAGTCATGGGTAACCCAAATCATCGTTATGGATGACCAGTGTTGAAAGCTATGACTTTGGTGGAGTGGGTATAATGGGGATATAATGATGCCGACAATATGGAGACTTAATGGGGATGTAATGGGATTATACGTGGTTAAGAAAATGCTAGAAACCATCCCCAAATTTAAATGATAGGTTTGTTAGTATTGTTGGGTGTCCCACAATGTGGGGCCCCATGATGTTTGTTGGTTTAGACTCACCTCATGAATACGAAATGTTGTGTTTGTATCATAAATCAAAATTATTGGACTTATGAACCACCTTAGCCTTAGCTATCGTTTGGGGGCCCCACTTTATATAAATGTACCGTATATAGAAGCGCCCAGGAAGATGCCGAAATGTAAGGACTATCACTATTTTGGGAGTTTACTTATTTTTTAGGGGTTACTATACACGCGGAAGTAAAGTCCTTGGAACAAGTTCTTGGACGTGTACCTGGAGTTTATCGAAAGCCGGGTAGATTCAAAATCAGAGTGAACAAGAATACAGAAATGGAGATTTACTGTTCACCAAGAATCCATTGTTCTATTGCTGGGTAAATCTGGGTCTATTCAAACATCTAGGGTTTTGACAAACAACTGGAGTCTGCCTAAACTTTGGTTGGACAGTTTTTTTGTTTTTTGTTTGTCATAAATGATATATGCCA